GGCGGCCGGGGCTTGCCCCGCAGCGTGGCGGAGGTGATCTCCTCGTCGTCCTCCATGCCGTCCGGTCCAGCGGCCCCGCGGCCGCCCTGCTCCGTCCCGCCCGCGGAGGAGCGCAGTCCGGGTGCGCCCGCCGCAGGCTGCCGGTAGCTCGCGTTCTGCCGTCGCCTGGAAACCGGGGCCGCGCGAGGGGAGGCTGGGGGCGGGGCCTGGGGCCGACCCTACCCCTCCCTCCTGGCACCTCTCATTCGGGATCTCCCCTTAGTGCCTCCGGGGAGCCCAGCTGCTAACTCTGCGGGGTCGGTGTTCCCTGGTGGGAGGCGCCTCTTGGATCCGCACTTTCCAACCTGCTTACCTTTCCCCGCGCAGTGTCAGTTCCTTCACACACAGACCACTGTTCCTTGGGCAGTTAATGACCTCGCATCTACTGTGTGCCAGCGCTGAGGATGTAGCCTTGAACCAAGCAGCCCTCGTCCCTCTGGATCTGAGAGTCTGGTGAGGAAGACAGGTGACAGCCGTGAAAAGAACAAGTAACTTGAAGAGGGTCTGGAGCATCGCCTCCGAAGAGGAACAGAGAGCTGCACGTGTAATTTAAAACTTGCTGGTAACCACACTCTCACCCTCCCCTGGGTAGAAATCCTAAAAGCGCCAGCAAAGAAAAAAAAAGGTCTTATAATCTACTACTTCCCTCAACTTCTGCAACCTCTTTTAAAGACCGGACATAGGCGGTCAGCTAACGGGCAGGAGGCTTCATAAGCTTTGCGTAGATCATCCGGTATCACCTTCGTAAAATGGAAGCAGTTGACACCAATTATCTTGAGAACTCAGCTAAAACTGAGACTGAAATCGTTTCATTGTAAAATCTTTTTCTGCAGTTATGTGGAGGTGCGTCTGCTAGCTTCAATTTCAGTAGGTGACATTTTGTTCTGCCCTGTGACCTGACTGCTGTGGAGGGCACGTTTACAGACATACACTGTTTTCCTCTGATGGCTCAAGTCTGGCACAGGGTAGGTACGCAACATATGCTTGGTAACTCGGTAGAGAAATACAGTGCCATAGTTTGGGTTCCTTCTAAAGGTGAGTCTGGGACAAGGGCTTGGATGCTCTATTTGGGGAGGAGTGAGGGGCCAGAAGAGTGAGAGCAGCAGGAAGGTCAATGGAAGGCTAAATTCTCAAGGTCACCTCTGAGGGCAGCTGGAGTTCAACCTTGCCCAGGACTTTCTTTGGAGCCTGGGGCACGCCTCTCAGAATCTCCCGCCAACTCAACAAGGAGGCTCATTTTTATCTCTTATTCCCAGTCCTTGTAGGGTGAGACTTCTTTCTGGATTGTTCACTCCTGACCTTGTTTGTCCTCTGCCCAGCGCTGCCCAGACTCCCCTGAGGGTTTCCTCGGAGTCAGAGAAGCCCTGGGGCTGACAGTGAAAGGCACGGGGCACTTACTTGAGGTGTGATGCTAATGCATTACAATGAGCATATAATGAGAGGTTCAAGGTCCACTGGAAGTCAAATCCTCTGCCATCTTGGGCTTAGTTGGTTCTAACCAGTTCTTGTTTCTCCCCTTTGTTCTATTCGAGGAAGGAGCAGAGGTATGATCCTGGGGGCAACAGTCTCTGTAACAAGGGGTGTAAACAAGAGGCAGGGGTTAGGGGAAGCCCCTCAGGGTCCTGCTTGGTATCAGCTGCCAGGCGTGAATCAGAGGTGGAGGAAACAATGGGTAAGATGAACTTTGCTATTTTCAATTATCAAGAGATTTTAGTTCCTTTTTTAAAAAAATATTTTCATATATGACCCTAATATATATTCCAGGTACATAAGTGGAATACAAGGTCAAAGAGTCTAATTTGTTTAAGTCCCTTGTGTCTTTGACTTGTACCTTCAAAGTTCTGCACGGAGGAAGGGAAGGGAAGGGAAGGGAAGGGAAGGGAAGGGAAGGATAAAAGAATGAAAACCCTACGGTCAAAGGAAGTGGATTAATAGTACAAGAAGGCACACTGAGTGTGGGTTAACTCTGCAGGAGGTCAGGGCAGCTTTGTTTCAAATGACAACCTTAGTAGTTTGGAATGTCCACCCTCCAAAGCCCATTCCAGCATCATGGAAGCTACCCTGGCACTAGGATGGAGCTGACGTTGGGTGACAACGTTGCACTGGTCTGATTTAGGCAGATGTGAGTGCACTAACTACTGTTCATGCAGCCTGTTCTGCGGATCTGCCAGAACCTCTCTGCCTGCAGCTCCCTGCTGGGAGTTGGGAGAAATTCATGGGAGGGCGGTCTCCACTGCAGGACCTTGGGCAGTTCCCAGGAGCATAGGCAGTGCCTGGTCTAAACTGCAGCTGGAACCTGTGCCATTTCTCTTGACATCTGGGCAGAATGTAAGCGTGGAGAGACCCAGTGGGGAGAATGTCTGTTAATTTCAGGCAGGGGAGGAGAAAGCAGAGGAGGGCACTTTTCTGTGACATTAGCATGCCATGTGTCACGTTGGCAGTGGCTTCAGCATATCTTGCGTAGCATTTATGTTATATTTGTCATATGTTCTCAAAAACCAACACACCTGTTAAGTTCAGGAGAACCCTCTGGTTCTTCATGCTGATGAGAAAACTAAGATGTAGGCAGGATAAATGACTGGATGCAGGGGACACAGCCAGTGTCCTGAAAGATGCATGAAATCTCCAGAAAGGGAGGGGCTGCTCTGGGGGAAGGTTTTGTCCTTGGGGCCCTTGGACCATTCAGAGATGGAGCTATGGCCTGGACAAAGCACAAAGCTTTAGCCAGTGATTCTCAGCAGCACACAGATTCAGCTGAGGGACACAAAACATCAGATGGTCTGCTCTCCACCTTGCAAACCCGTGTTAACTGAGGCAGAGAGAGGAGGGAAAATCATCTGTGAATACATTAACACAGCCTCATCTTTCTAAAACATCTTCTGTTGGAAATGCAAAATTTCACAAGGTTGACATCTCCATTTTAAATTTAAAAGTTTTATAATTATTTTGGTTTTTTAATTAAAAAAATGTTACAGGAAGGTAATTAGGTTTATTTATTTATTTGTTTATTTATTTATTTTTTAATGTAGGTACTGGGGATCGAACCCAGGACCTTGTGCATGCTAAGCATGCACTCTGCCCCTGAGCTATACCCTCCCCCCTTAATTATTTTGTCTTAAATTTCACTGTAAACTCATTTAAAGTGGCTTAGAATAATTGGACTTTGATTCACAGGCTTTAAAATGGCTTACAATTACTTGGATTAAGGACTACTCTGCATGTGGCTGGTTTTATGATGGTTCAGGGATGGATGGACAAACACAGAGATCTGTAACTGGCAAGGAGGAGAACTGGCTGTGTGTGTATCCAGCAAATCTAATGGTCATTATGAACTCAAGGGTTATGAAATGATGTTCCTGCCTCACCTCTTCCAAATTCCCCATTAGTGCTCTTTGACCTTGAGAATAGCAGCATGACCTTGGCTCCTGGATCAGGGGAGCCACTGCCTGCCCTCCAAACCATCTTTACCAGACCTTGGGCACAGGCAGTGGACTGTGGTTGGATTAACAAACCTTTACCTTATTTGACACCTCTTCCCTGGGAAAGTTGTGTGAATACTGCCAGGAGATTTAGAACCATGTTTGGCATCAGGTTTTTCCTGTAGGCTGGCTCCTTCAATTAATGGAGTCCCTGTGGCTGGTCACTTTAAGCTTATGAATCAAGACATAAACATATAAATTTAATTTTGGTTTGTTCACTTTGTTGATTTTGAAATAAAAATGACTATGATTTTATACGATGTGTCAAATGAAAAGTGCCCCGCACTGACAGCCCTAGTGATGAGCAGTACCGCCTGGAGCAATCAGGCCTCCTCCCAGAGGGCAGGCCTGGGTCTGAGGCAGGAGATGGTGAGACTGGGACATCCTGTTCTGCCAAGAAATTTTCAAAAAGTAATGTGTCAAGGTCAAAAGGACAAAGAGGCCAACCTGAAGGGTATCCCACTGATCTAAACTAGGACAATTTAAGCTTCTAAAAGATGACTGTAATGAATTAATGCACATCAACTATATAAAATTTCATAAATATCCTAAAGCAAACAAACAAACAAAACTGACCAGCAACCAGCTCTTTATTGAAAAACTTGATATAAGGAAAGGCTCATTTATCTTGTTTTCTTTTTCCCTATATGAACCTTATTTTAGAGTTCACCAATAGTTGGCAGGAGAAATTTCTTTTTTGGGGGGGAAGTAATTAGGTTTATTTATTTATTTATTATTACTTTTGATGGAGGTACTAGGGAATTGAACTCAGGACCTCTGGCATGCTAAGCACTGCACTCTACCACTGAGCTATGCACTCCTCCAGAAATTCCTTCTTTACAGATGGATACAAGATAATAAAAGGAGAAGAAATGATAGAGTTACAAAATCTTTTTTAGACACCTGCTGGAATAATGAATCTAGGTAAGAGTCACCTAAGACGTTAAAGCCAATAGGAGAAAGGGTGATGGGGACCCTATATTGGATGAATGAGGCTGGTGACCCAGGAACTCACCATCAATCTTAATGACTATCACTAAGAGGAGACAACGCGACATTATGATATGAGGCAAAGCTAACACACAGCACCACCTCTGAAGCATCCTTGCTGAAAAAATTAGCCTGAATCTAAGCAAGCCTCTAGGTCGAACTTGTAGTTTTACAGGAGATGCAGCAAGTAGAGGAACCAGTCACAAAATGCCAAATCAATACTGTAGGATGTTTTTACAGGGCAACTGATCTAATTTCTCTAATAAACCAATGACATGGAAGCTAGGTGAGGGAGGGGAGCAGTTATAGACAGGAGACTGAAAACTGAGTAGTATAGCACCTGAAAGCAGTGTGTGGCCTTTGTTCAGCTCCTGATTCAAACAAATCAACAATTAAAGACTACTTCTGAGCCAGCATAGGAAACTTAGAATATAGACCAGGTATCAAATGTCCATAGGCAATAAGTATTAGTTTTGTTAGTTGTAATAATGGCGAAATAAAGACAAAGGAAAATGTTTATTGGCAATGGATGCATACTTTTTTTTCAGTAAAAGAATCTCAATTTTTATGTATAACCATAACTCTACGAATAATTTTAGTATGGTAGGCATGAAGTTCCTAGAGATTTAGCTTTCTTAATCCATCAGCAGTCGTTACTTCAATTCGTACTTTTGTAAAATTATTTCTTATTTCCCTTTACAAGTTTTCCTTTTACATCCTTCTTTCCTTACTTAAGTTTTTGCAGAATTATTTTCCTTCTTTCGCAGTTTTAGGAGTTCTTCTCCCCAATCCTTTCCACTGGACCAAAGAATATGATGGCTTGGATTTCTCTAGGAACAGTCCAATTAAAAAAAGGAGAGTAAAGAAAAAGAATAAGAGAATAAGTAGACTAAACAGGATTGGAAAATTGTAGGTTTTATTCCATGCTGAATAAAAGGGCTCATGTGAATTCATTATACTATTCTTTCTACGCTTGTGTGTGACCAATGTTTTCTATTATAAAAGTTACAGTAGAATTACTAAGAGATACTGTTTTTCTCAAACATTAGAACCCAGAGTATCAGTTCAGGACACCAAGAGTGTGCTGGGGAGATGCAAGGAGTTGAGGGGAGGGGTGTTTGTTTTTTTTCTGAGATGAGATTACAAGTATCTTAATGCAAAATTTCTTACGATGGAGCCAATGGCCAAAGAACATCAGCAGAAAGTTAGGCTTACTGACTACTGAGACAAGCCCATGGGAGGAACCTCACCGAGAGATGGAAAGGGCAAGGAGAGGATTTGGGTGAAATTGAGTGAAGCTGGGTTGGAGAGACTTGGAGAGTATGCTTGTGTGTAAGAGGGTCAACGTGAGACCTGGCCTGAGAAGACGACCCGGGATCCTCAAGGCAGGGAAATGTGGGATGTTGTGTCCCGAGTTCCCTGACCTGAAACTCTGCATCATTTGGGGAATCGAGGCTGCTTCTATGAGCTATATGCCCCACGAGGTTCAGATGCTGTAGGCACCAGAGGCGTGTTCCATTCTTCCAGATACAATTTCAGACAGCAGGGAGTTTATAGAACGAGATTTCTCAGCACAATGTACTTGATGCTACTTAGCAGAAGGAGCTGCCACAGGTTCAAGATGATGCTGGCCCCAGGAGTCTTTACTGGCGAGTTGGTGGTGCCCCTCCTCCCAGACCATCCCTGACGGGCTCCCTCACCAGGAGCTGCAACAGGGTTTAAACGTGACTGTAAGGTGACTCCTGTGCTTGTAACAAGAGTCCGCACGGCTCATCATTTACTGTTTTCCAGGTACTGGCCAAACAGCTGATGAGGCAAATCTCATTTACGATCCTATACGTATTTAGACGCCCAACGGGTCTGGGTATTTTTCCAGTTTGGGGAAATGTCAGCCTTTGGGGGTTAACTCACCACTATGGAGCCAAGATCCCCTCCCTGAATTTGTACACAAAGTCTTCCAGTGGGTAGCTTTTTTAGAGGAAACTGACCTTGTTTTTTGTTTTCCCAGAATTCTATCAAATATGCTCAATTCTGTTCCTTCCTATTCTTCTTTCCACCTAACAAATATTTACCAAGTCTCTGTATGCACCCAGGTGTATGGAGGTTGACAGGTAGGACCCCAGTCTTCTAAGAACCAGCTGGGATCTCTTCATACCAAGGTACCATCTCCCCTCTCCTGCCTGGTTCAGCCAAAGGGAAGTGCATTCCTTCTTTAGATCAAGGTAAGGAAAATTGCCTCTGTTTCGCTCAGGCAGTTCTTTCACTGCACCCTTCCACAGCTCCTGCCCTGCTGTCCCTCCTAACACAAACCCACACACAGGATCCACTCTCTCCTGCAGGGACCAGGGATCATTCCAGTTCAACGTCTGCAGCCCAATAAATGTCCTGACCTTTGCTGCCCCCTCCTGGCTGGTCTGAAGACCATCGCTGCTGCTTGCAAGGAAAACAACTTTTTTCATCTGTTACTTCCCTTTACTTAACTTTTTTTTTCTTCTCTGCTTTTACTTAAAAAAATGACATCAAGATTATACCTTATTTAAAAACATTATCTATATAGGGTACCAAGGGCTATCATAACTGAATATGTAATTTCAATAAGAAAATTCACATTATTTTTGCTGGCATAGATAGACAATAAAATTTAGTGGCAGGATTTCGTTTACAAGGACACATGTCTTTATAATTTTCCAGAACTTGTCAAATTTACTCCAGTTGGTGAGATGAGAAGCTTTTTATCTGTTGATTAGCCTAAAGTTGTTTTCATAATATATAACTGCATATTTTCAGGATTGAAATTTGCTTTAATACACAGTGCCAGAGTTAGTTCTAACCTCATTTCCTGTGACGACCTTGTCTGCTTTGTGCTGAGTGCTCTGGCCACAGTGATGCCTGAAATGCTTTCCCACCAGTGACCTGCCTTCCTCTGAAATTCAGCTTACAAATCACTGCAAGAAGCCTCCTCTCACGCCCCAGGCAGGCCTGAAGTCCAGTGCATCCCAGAGTCTTGCTCCCGCTTGGGGAGTGCCAGCTGGCTCATTGCTGCAACCACCTGCGCATGTATTGTCTTGCCCCCTCCTTGCTCCTCAAGGTGGGGGCTCCTTTCGGCTTCCTTTGGGCGCTCTTAACATTCAATGGGTTGGCAGCATTATCAGAGCTCACTAATAAACGTTTGGTGAAGGAAGGTAGGAAGGAAGGAAGGAAGGAAGGAAGGAAGGAAGGAAGGAAGGAAGGAAGGAAGGGCTAAATGAAACAAAAGCTCAGCAGAGGATGTAACTAAAAGTGCAGAGGGAGGACTATCTGATTCCGATGAGAGCAACCAGGAAAAAAAAAGGTCCTGATGGGTGAGAAGGATTTAGATCAATGGAAAAGCTGGGGGAAGGTTTTAGGCTGTGCTGTCTTTTCATAGCATTTATAACAGACTGCCATCACCTCTCTGTGTGGCCATTTAGTTAAGACTCTCTTCTCTTTAAGCTGTGAGCTCGTTGCCTCCCCAGCACATTTAAGGGGCGTTTCACACCCAGGGGCGAGCTGAGCCATGAGAGAGAGATGGACGGCGTGCTGGACTCGGCACCTCTCCTCTCATTAATTTCCATTTGCTCTCATAGGTTCTCTCTCCTCTGTAATTAGAGCATAAACTTTACAGAATGATCTTAGCGTTCATCTGGTCTCCATTTCTACTCTGGAAACAGACCCCAAAAGATAACATGAACTACATAGCACGATGGGGTGAAATCCAGACCAACTAAAAGAAGCTAACATGGGCTGTGTGCTGCTCTGAGGGGGTGGTTACCCAAGCGTTCTGTGTTTATTAACTAATTTCTTATTTCAATCCATTATAGCAAATTAATGGAACCCAAGGAGGGGGTCATTGGAACCTCCAATCTATAGCCAGTTGGTCAGAAGCACGGGCCATGGAACAAGCTGGACTTGTGACTGGCATCTGAAAGGGTGGTGGCGAGGGCAGTCTTGTGGCACTGCACCCTCAGCCTGTGGGGCCCGACGCTGTCTCCAGGTGGTGCCAGAACTGAGTTCAGCTGTGGGATGCCCAGCTGGTGTCGGAGCCCCCACACCCCACTCCCTCGGCCAGCACACACACTGCATTTGGGTAAAGAACCCTTTTTATCCCCTGAAATGTTAACGTAACGGGACAATGAAGCATCTGCAATGAACTGAAGAATTTAATTAATTCTAAATGTAAAATTTAGAAGTTTCTCCCTCCAATCAAACCTTTCCCCCAAACCCTGCTTTTTCACATCTTGATACATTTAAAAAAAACAAAAAAAACATAAAAAGCTCCCATACCAATACAAAATATTTTCTTATTAACTAAAGGGTTATTTCTGTATAAGTCTACAATTATATATGCTTACATCCAGTCTATTTTTCATTGCTCCTTTTCCTGACCATCTATTACTTCCTCTAACAAAATATAAAAGAAAAACATGGGAGATAAAATTTTTCTTACATTTGTTAGAATAGGAAACAAAGGTCTCTCAAGAGTATATTTTCAGTTAGCAGCTACCTGTCACAAAACACAAGACTTAAAAATAACACTTACACGTTACGTTCTTTATTGTACTGGATTGATTCTGTTTGATGTATAAAAGTATCTATGACACTAGTATTAAATAAAGATTAAAATTAACTTCAAATTTGCCACTGATAAGTGCATACACGGTGCGAGGAAATGAGAGACCCTTCCCAGATCACCACAGTCCGTAAACAAATGGCTAATTTGCAAGTTCTGTCACTACTTTGAGTTCTGAAGCCAGCATTCATTCTTGATACCAATGTCTGCCAAAGTTTTGAGAAAATAGTTTTCTTTGTAAGTATTCCACTAATTCAAGTCTTGATTTTAGCATCTCAATCTCATAATAGGGAATCTGTAAAGAGAGGAAAATAAAGTGCATCATGGTCCTCTGTAATCTGAAAGGTGTGCCCAGTGCTGGAGCCCCTGGCTGGCAGGGGCTCCACCTGTCAGTGGGATACCTAAATGAGAATCAGACACGATCGCAGTCCTCCAGGAGCTTACAAATTAGGTGCCAACCTAAAATATACAATAAATACAAAGAGTAAACAGTAATACAAAACAAAACATGCAAAGAATATCGGTGCTCTAGTTTTGAGAGGGAGTCAAATTTCAGATAGGATGAAAGGTCGGCCTGAGCTGGGAGCTGATGAACGACCAGGATTTAGACACTCAGAGCGGTGGGGACCCCTGGAACAGGGGGGCAGAGGAAGAAGAGGAAGAGGAGGGAGGAGACCACCGAGCTCGGAGCGGAGAGCCTGGCTGCGGGCCCACCTCGGAGGGTCTGGAATGTTGACCCGTGGAGGAGTCTGACTTTCTCCCATAAGCAGTGAGGAAGCAATGAGCGCTTCTGAGCACGCTGGCATGATTTGTTGGAGGGAAATTAATCTGGGTCTGTGCACGATGGAGTGGAAAGAAGTGACCAGACAGGAGAGCAGAGGGCAGACTGGGGGGCGGCTCAGGGAAGGCAGATGCTCTGGGTACATTTACTGCGAGTCCTCGCTCGAGACCTTGCTAAGTGAGCTACGGTGGAAATAGAGAGTCTTACACATCGTGCTGATGAAGAACCTGGTTGGCCATCTTGTCTATTTTATTCATTAGATCAAAGGGAAATTAAAACAAAATAGATATTCCAATAATTTACTAATTCTTAAAGCAAAGTTAAGCACAGCTTATACAGAATTTAGGGATGGCTCCCTTTTGGTAAACAAAAGGTTTGAAAATTGTGTATTTCAAAATATAACTCAAGAGACTTAAGCCTAATTAACAGAGGTGGCATTTAAACTAGACAGAAGACCCAGTCCACTGGGCTGGCATACCACTTAGTACCCTGGAAAAAGCAAATGTGAACTAGAAATGGCTTTTCGGGGAAAAAAAAAATAGGTGGAACCATACCTGAATGACCTGGTAACCAAGCAGGCGCAGGTGTCTCTGTTTGGTAGCTTCCTTCCCCAGTAAGTGTTTGCTATTCAAACAAAATCTTTTTGGACCATCAATGCACAGTGCTACCCTGAAAAACCAAAGAGGAGAGAGAAATTTGATTTTTAAAACAATCCAAAATATGTATATGTTTTTAGTTGCCAGAGTTTATTTGGGATTTAGCTATTCCTTCATGCCAATTCTGTTTTCAAATGAACCATGACTGTTATCCATTAATGAGGTGAAAAAGTACTCAACTTTATTAACACTGAGATTCATAAAATGTTACATGGAATTTCCAAAACTAGTATGCCGGAGTGTTTTTATTTCCACAATCATGTCTACTTTTTTCACTTTCTTAAGAAAACAATCCCTGTTTATTAACCTTGACAAGTCTTGTAACATATAAACCACAACAGTTTTCTCTACCTTTTATGCACATCTTCATCGACTGTAAATGGCACTACAAATCCATCTCCATCTAATTTAATTTCAACATCTGGTGAGAGAAGAAAGGAAAAGCTCTTCGTGTGATACCCTCACAAACACTCTCTTCCTTTCCTCCTCGTTTTGATTTCCTCCATACTGCATTTATCAACTGGGCAGAAGGCTGCAAAGCAATGACCACACCAGACAGCGGTGAGAACTTCAATCAGAACCACGCCCAACCATGTCAGCCTCAAGCTAAGGAGGCTGCACTGCACTAAAACAAGGAGGGGGCCCTCAAGGCATCTGGGCAGGATGTGAACCCCACATACACTTCACTCTCCTTGTAACAACTGGTGGGAGCAGGCAAGAAAATCCTTTGAGTTAAACAAAGTCAGACGCCAGTGCCACCGACAGCTTTCATCACCGGAGCGCCGGCGCCCCCAGGGAGCTGAAGCAGCCTGCACCTGACACGTGGGCCCTGAGCACCCGCAGGCTCCTGCCTTCTTTCCTTGTAAAGGAGCCCATAAAGGAGGGGGGAGACGTGGCCACCTGGAGCCTATGAACCCTGTCTTCTTTGAGCTGTCTCCTACTTAACAATTTTAAAAAACTGCAAAGGCAGAAGGGCTCTGCCTGCCTAGTAAGCCCAGAACTTCCGTGATGATGGAAATGCTTATAGCTGCTACGGAGCACTTCCAGCGGGCAGCGTGACTGGGGGCCTGCACTGTGCATTTTTACAACTGTAAGTATTTAAATTTAAACAGCACTGGCAGTGTGGCTACTGTGCAGGGCAGCACCGGCCCGAGCAGCCCAATAGCTGACAGTCACCGAGCATTTACTGTGCCCCAGCTCCCGTTCTATTTCACTTCATCCTTCAACAAGTCTTTGAGGTCACTATCCCTCTTGCTCTCACCTTGCAGATGAGAGCAAGCAAACGAATGCCCAAAAAGGATGCTCGAAGTCCTTCTGCTACTTTTTGGCCAACATGTGGGACTCAGCCCCACACTCAGTCCTGGCTCTTCGGCCCAACTGCCCCCCACCCCCATTCCAGTTTGCCTTCAGGGAAGGGCCAGCCCCATCCTGTGTTTCCAGACCTTTGATGCTGCTGAGCCGCACGTGCTCCCACAGCCGGCACCGGGCTGAACTTAGTGAACCACGGACTCCCCACTACTTACCTATCGTGTAACGATAGGGTGTTAACACCTTTGAGGCAAAATACAGTCTTGCTCCTAAAAGGTCAATCAGTCCAATCACCACAGATTTATAAAGCTGAAAATCCACGGGGGTCTCCAGGGAGGAGCACGGAGTGAGGAATGATTTCACTTGATATTTAAAAAGAAGTTTTGGACCCTAAAAATATATGTGCAAACACGAGAAAGAAAAATAAGACACAGTGTCAGAGAATAAAACGAAGGTTGCCTGAGTATAAACTCTGATCCGAGGTGGCTCTGCAAGCAGGACACTTCTCCTGGACTTGGACAGGAGTCTTCCTCGAAATGACAATGCCAGATATTCTTGTTACGGTTCAAGTCTAACAGTGCAAAATACCTTTGATGTGTTTTAAATACAGTCATTAGTCACTGAAAGAAAGAAAGAGTGAAAGAAAGAAAAGAAAGAAACAAACAAAGACAGCTCAAGGAACATCTTTGGAACTCTGAGAATTGCTTTAAGGGACTTGAGAACATCCAACTAAAGTTTTTAATGGTGGAAAATGTGATAAAGCTGGCATTTCGATTCAATAAGAAAAGGACAGCTGTGGGGCATATGGTGCTAGCAACTGGTCACCCATCTGGAAAAGAACTAAGTTAAAGTTCTACCACACATTACAGATTATAATCAATTCTGGGTAGACTAAAGATCTAAATATAGTAAGAAAGATAATACTTTTTTAAAATTTGGTAAAGTTTTTATCTTGCCTTAGGAGTCATAAAATATTATTAAACAAGATAGGAAACCCAGCAATCATATAAGATGGATAGAGTTGACTACAGAAAACTTAAAGATTTCTATACGGCAAAAGGCATCATAAATAATGTTAAATTAAAACTAAAATAATTTG